TCTGTAATTGCGGCACATAGAGACTCAACTGTGGATCTTTCTGGAGTATGAAGGTGATGCAATGCAGCAATTGACATAAGAACAGGCTCTCAGTGACTTTCAAAGGAGTTGAAAAAGTCAGCAATTGACGCAGAGGAATGAATGTTCGCGTTCGCAGTGGCAATGGTGCCGCATGCTTCCGTATGGCCGCACGGAGTCTAAAACGGATTGTACAAACACAGGACACAGAGCAGCAGCTAGGTGTGATAAATTGTCTGTCGACATTTGCTTATGGTCAGCCTCGAGAAAAATATTCAAACGGCTTTCGACATATCGGCAGCAGACTCAAAATTTTGAGAGGGGCACAACAGGCTGAGCGGTCAGGTCGCGAAGACAAAGAGGAATCCACAGCGTAGTCGACGCAGGCCCCTGTTGCAAAATGATGCAGGAGAAAACGCTGGCATTGCACTAAGGTCATACCGGCATGCGGGAGGGCATGTAAATCAAGAGATCGCTATATTGTAAATAAATATGCATGAAATACAGAGATGCGGGAACGGTAGCATGATATCCAAGAAATATATTGCGCAGTAGAGTCAACGAAATCATATGAGTCTTAGGTGTAATAAATGGTGGCAAACCAGACGCCAAAGGGTCATCGCAAATGCAGCGATGTCTGGGAGCTGGTAAAAATATAAGTATCAAGTCAGCTAAGCAATAGTGGATGAAGACTTACGCTGCAAAGGCATTGCATTGTTGGCCACCCGGGGATCAATGTCCATGGCAGAGGTATTTGAGGCCGGATGGCAGGATAAATCTGCACAGCAGGTTAGGACTCTAAACATATTCAATTTGATGGAAATGAGCACTGGTTGCTGTTGGCCAGGGTGAACGATGCCCGAGGAAAGATGAAAGGAAGCATGTGGAAGGATTTGGCCACAAAATAATAACCATCACACCCTAGGACGAGGTTGCAGGGAAGACCAATGGTTACAGAAATTCCCGTGTGCATGGAGCAGACAGCGTCGCCATAAGGTAGAGTCAGAAGACCGGAGGTAACAGATTGATATGCCGGACGATAGAATCCAATCAAGAGTCATGAGGGATTTGGCAGAGCGAGGAGCAGAGGTGGGGAGCGGGATCTTGCAGAATGTTGCTGAGGGAGCCATAGCTGCGATGGTGGTGATGCGGGAGAGCGATGTGTGGAAGTGAGTAGCGGTAAGGTCCAGAAGCTGCCACGTCACCAGTTGATAAGCAGGATTACTACTTTGCTCACGGCATCGGCGGCAGGAACAACGGCAGGCGCAAGCCGAAACAATTTGGCAGGGAGGAAAGCGGATTATGCAAAAACTGCTGACGAAAATGTGATGCACGGCCAAATCCAAAAATCATGCTCCCTATAAGACCCGTACCTTACGGTAGCGGGAATATTTACCATAGATTCATGTAAACCCGGACACGGCCTTACTTACTCACAGCCACCATCACGTTACCTTTACCTTTTTTTTCTCTCTTAATTCCATCATCATATACTCGAGTCTACTCCGAATACACAAGGATCCTACTACTTGTGTGCTTCCTCTGTTGGTGTTTTGCTCCTGGTCTCTGGATGTATCAGGTGTGTTTCCAGGCCAATGTGCAAATATCTCAGCCCATTTGAAACATTGATGTCAGCCCAAACTGAATTCGTCAAGGTTCAGTTCAGAAGTCGAAGCCTGACTCAAGGGTCCAACCATTTAGTTTTGTTTGCAGATGCAGGCAAATCAAGCAGAAAGGGTATATAAACAGTTTTGAACCTTTTACATAAAACAGTTTATAATTGGTATGTTGGTGGGCAGGTTCTTTGGGTGCATCTGGAGGATCAGACCGAGTTATCTGACCATAATAAAGTCACAGATAAGATCCTAACTCCAAAAACTGTTTACAAACAGCTTGCAAACTGTTTGCGCCCACCCACAAACTAAGTCGAAATAAAAACGGTTTTAACCGTTTCAAAATGTTCTCAAATGGAGCCTTAGCCTGAGCAGTATACGACCCACAAAAGAACTCTTCCAAACAATATATTCAAGAGTAAAGCTGTTTGAGAATGGCGTAAGCTCCCCCCTCCTCTGTAGATGGGCACCGGCATACAATACATATTTGTATTAGAGAATGGTTGTTAGTATTCCACTTTGTGTAAAAGACATTATGTCCAACCCAATTATTTTAAGCTCTTCCAATTGTTGAACCAAAAGTTGGTATAGTGGGGATTTTGTGGAAGTGTAGACCCCCCTTGACCTAAAGGTTCAGCACCCGCCTCGAAGAGGCCCAATCCCAAGTCATTTAAATATGTGGCAAAAAACTAATGTGAGTCCACCGCCAATCCACCGCAACATCCTCACTTCCGCGCCCAACATTTGATGCCCCTTCTGCAGAACGCCGAGTCCACTTCTCGAGAAACGGAGCTCTTCCCAGAAATATGGCTGGGACTGCCAAAAAGTGAGAATATCGTGCCGTGTAATACTACATATTTACATCCAGGAAAGAAAATTTTGGTGGAGCTGCTGGAGGGCCCGGGAATTGGTATTGACTTGTGTACACTACATGGCTAGTCGCGTTTTGGTCATTTCTCTTGATTCTGAAAAAGGTTGCTGGGGACCCCTTATTGTTTTCTCTCAGTGAGTATTCTCCAACTCCTCGCTGTGAAAATTCACCGCAAGTTTCAACTTCAGCGGCTTTTATTCTTTTAATTGTCATGTCGCTCGAGCTGATCGGATGGTTTCTTTTCCTTGGACTCATCACCATTCGTGCGTTTCTTTCATGGGTTTATAATATGGCAGCTCATCTCATTTCACAGTCGCCTATCTAGTACTTATCATCTCGTTTGGGTCCCCTCCAGACATTAATGCCCCCGGCTTCAAGCACCAAATCCGGCGCCCTGCCATGACATTAATGGGCAGTCCGCATCGTTTGCTGGTTGATGACATCGGTCGGATAAACGGGTACCGTTGCGGGTGGTCCAGATTTGCTGAATCCTCCTTTCCCCGTCATTCAACATGTTTCCTTCTATACCCGAGAGTGCTGCAGCCATGTACTTGATTTCTTCAACTAGGATTAGACTGTTTCGATTAAAAGCCTTGACTGGCAAGAGAGATCGGGATCGAGCTGCAGGGAATTTCAGTAGAGGATAAAAGCGGCGGTAGGGGTGCTGTAAGTAGAATTCTAGGTAAAGACAATAAGACGCCCAATGATCACGAGAGATTAGTGTTTAGGTTTTCAAGACTCCGGCCGCATCTGAATAAGAGTTGGTCCTAGCTTGTTGAAGAATTTTTTTTTCAGTAGTTCAGAGCCAACCAAGTTTTTAGGAATTTCAAGGATATTCCCCGGCCCTTGTCATGAGTCTAATTACAGGAGATCCTGAAAATAATGACAATCACGAGATTTTTTTTTTGTTGCTTCCCAAAAAGGAAATCCGCCTTTTCTCCCTCCTTTCGCCGTTTCTGCACCTGCAAAGCCTTTTGTAGAGTCTTATAAAGTCATAGAGGCTTCGACCATCCCACAGCAACATTTACGTTGTACAACAGTCAACAAAATTTCATTCATTCATGCTCCAAGTACCACAATCGAGCAAGTACTGCTAAGGAACACTTTCCACGACGCCTCGTCGCAGGCGTTGGCACCATTGTGGGGCTTGCTTGAGTCAGTCAAGAACCACCATCGCATTCTCTCCAGGATCGCGCCCTCCGTTATGAGGTGGCGTTCAGTGCTAGGATGTGAGGCAAGCCGGTCAGAGTCCTGGCGAGGCATAAGCGTAGTCAGCGGTGAGCAGCGGAGGTCCGGTAGTCAGGACTGAGAGACATGAGGCAACATTTCGCCAATGGGATCCATGAGACACAGCGTCTGCGGCACAACGGGATCCACGAGCACTCGTGCGGGTCCTCGAGCTAGCGGCGCAACAGCATCTGCTGCGCACCCAGCGAAGAATGTGCAGCAGTGGTTCTAGCACATCCTACTCCAACCATGGCGCCAAACATCCTTCGAGCTCGCCCTCGACCGCCCAGTCCTCCGTTGCGTCCGTGCCATGACTCGCTGGATCAGCACACTTGGCGTTGGCAGGCGGTGTGGGCAGCATGATGCTCTTGATGTGCCCAACGGACAACTCGCGGTACCGGTGGAATCTGAGCGTTTGAGCGGTAGGGCAACATGAGCAAGGACGCAGCGCCCACTGGTGGCTCGACGCCATTGTGCATCTGCCGCCAAGGAGGCGCGAGCCATCGAGGGAGGCCGAGGCGACAACATATGCTGGCAGTCGACGTCACGGCCCTGGTGCGCAGCTCAGAACGCCGCGCGAACGCGCGGAAAGAGCCTGGAACTGTGCGAAGAGCTGCCAACAATGGAACACTCATGGCGACAGGAACATTGGCTTGGGCAGCATCGGGAGGACTGGATGCGTTGGCATTGGAGTCGCCACTGCTGGTTGTGACGATGAGCGGGGGTGACGGGGCAGAACATGAGACGCACGGATTTGCATGAACCGACACATGTTCCTTCCCACTTCCTTTCACGACTCCTCAGCGGCGACGGAGTCGTAAATCCTCTTCTCAGATGGGTTGGTGCTGGTCCCTTGTCTCCGTGAACAAAATCATGTACAGAGCATTGCGTAGATCGGAATCAAGATGAAAGCGGGCATTCAAGTTTACGCAACCAACCGAGTTGCTGGGTGTAATCTAGACACGAAAAGAGGTTGATACCCGTGCTTGGGTGTCGAAGGACCTCAACCAGGCATGTTTCTGCGTATTTCGAGCGATTGTGGTGAGAGAAGAGACAGAAAGAAAGTCGTGCACGAGGATTTCCTTTTCGGGAAGCAACAAAAAAAAAATGTCGTGATTGTCATTATTTTCAGGATCTCCTGTAATCGGAATTCAAGTCAAAGACTCGAGGATGCATGCGCACTTCACGGTTCACCGAGTCTTTGTTGCCAATTAGCTCGCACAGCTAAGGAAACGTACCCACCAATCCAACTCCCAAACCCACCAAATAAATCGGACGTAGTTTACGGTGCATGCCCACACAATGTTGAACAGTGCTTGTGGTTGAAGCGGGAGTCCTGGGTTCGACTCCCGGCGTCCGAATAGCCGTGAAATCTTCGTTTTTCTTTCTTCCTTTCCCGGTCGTTTTTTCTCTCCAAGAATTCGAATACTCCCCAGCCCCGGGCATTTTCATCCTAATTAATCGGGATTCAATTCAAAAGACAGGCTCGGAGGATGCATGCGCACTTCACGATTCACCGAGTGTAATTATAATTGCCAATCGGGTCGCACATGTACACCCAACGAACTCGGGTTGAAATCCTACCGATCCATCTCCCAAACACACTAAACAACTTGGACGCAGTGTACGGTGCACACCCCACATAATGGACCAGAATTCTGTATCGTTCGTAGCGGGAGTTCAAATAGACCAGACATTGGTTCCTTTTTTCTTCCTTCTCTTAAGATTCACTTCTGCTCACCGCTCAATATATAAAACAATGTTCCCCGGCATCAGTCTGCTCATCGTGTCGATGGATGTGCAGTTGGCTTGGTGCGCTCCAAGAAGATACACAAAAGGTTTCAAGTTCACTTGGACTTCATGTTGAAATCCAACCTGCCACCTATTTAGTTACCCACACCACAGAATATATCGGACGTGGTGCACGGTGCACGCCCCCACACACTGGTTTGGAAGATTGCGCAACAATTTGCGGCGGGAGGCCTGGGTTCGACTCCCAGCGTCCGAACTATGGCTAGATTGCTGTCCCCTTTTTTCCCCACCTCTGCTCCAGCAGTCCAACTTACAAGACAGTGTTCAGCGCCACTGACATCGGCCTCCCAAGTAATTAAATTAGTCTTGTCAAGCGATATGTAGGTGCGCGTCGAGGATCAAGAAGATCTTTCAAGTTCATTTGGTCCTGCGCCAAATTCATGTTCACGTTGAATAATGTCTCCCACCAATCCAACCACCAAAACAAATGAATAAGTCGGGCGTGGTGCACGGTGCACGCCCAAACACTTCCTCCAAGATGCAGAAAGTTTGCGGCGGGAGGACTGGGTTCGTCCGAATGGCATCAAATTTCGTTTTTCGTTCCTTTTTTCCTTTTCCTCAACTTGTCGGCCGTTTTTCTCTTCTAAGAATTCAGATATTCCCAAACCTTTCTCATCCATTAGAAATTAATCGGAATTCAAGTCTTGCCAATCGGGTCCAGGTCACGCACCTATGGAACTCAGGTTGAAAACTCACCCACTAATCCGGCTACCGAAGCCAATGAGTGACTCGGACGTGGTGCACGGTGCACGCCCCCAAACACTTTCCCGCGGTGCAGAAAGTTTGCGGCGGGAGGACTAGGTTCGACTCCCAGTGTCCGATTTTCTCCTTTCCTTTTTATTTAAGCTGCCGGCCACTTCCAAGAATACTCCCCAACCCCAGCTCCTGTCATTTAATTAATCGGAATTCAAGTGCGCACTTCACGAGTGTTTATTGCCAAACGAGTCGCAAACCCAAGGGACTCGAGTTGAAACTTACCTACTTCCAATTCAAGTACCGAAGTCACTAAATGAATCGCATGTGGTGCACGGTGCACGCCCGCATACAATGGCACAAAAAAGTTGTTGTTGTAGCGGGAGTCCTGGGTTCAGCGTCCGAATGGTCCAGAGTCCATTGCGTTTTTTTTTCTTCTCTTTTTGAGGCGAGACGTGGATTCCCTCTTACGGTTGTAATGAGAACAAAGACTTTGGAAGAAAGAAAGTACACTCATACTAGTACTGTTTCAAGGAAATACAACTGGTATTACACTGTACAACTCATGTTGAAATCCAACCCACCAATCCAAGTACCGAATTTAGTAAATGAATCGGACGTGGTGCATGGTGCACGCCCCCATATACTCGGTCCGAAACTTGTCTACAATATTGCGGCGGGAGTCCTGGGTTCGACTCCCAGCGTCCGAATTTGATTTTCCTCATTTCTTTCGTTTTTTTTAGGCGGGACGCTGGACCTAGATACCTCTTTCGATTGTATTATGATGACACGGAAGAAGAAAGTCAAGAACAAAGAAATCCAAAGAAAGAAAGTACGTTGTTCCGAGAAAATACGACTAGCATTACAGCATCATTGCACCTACACCTACGCGTACATACACCTACACCGACACCTACACCTACGCCGACATTACCTACGCCGACCCACCCCGGCCCCCGCCGACGTGCATCCGCTCCTTGAGTCGCTGCATTAGCTTCGGCTTCTTTGTCTTCGTCTTCTTCGTGCCCTCCCCGTCTGCGTCCGCGCTTGCGTCTGCGTCGACGACATTCTCCGAGTTTGAGCCACTGCTCGCATCGTCATCCGCCTCCTCGCTCCTGTTCGGCGACACCAGCATATCGCCCGTGGGCACGTTGTCTTGGAGGCGGGATGAATTCAAGGCGGCGCTCCCTTGTCCTTCGAGGCGCGGTGTGAAGTCTCCGGTGGGCACGTTATCCTCGAAGCGGGAGGAGTTTAAAGCGGCCGAGCCCTCGACGCGCGGCGTGAAGTCTCCGGTGGGCACGTTATCCTTGAACCGCGATGAATTCAAGGCGGCGCCGCCCTGTATTCCACCACCACCGTGCGCGCCCCCATATGCGTCTGTAGGTGCGGCGGGCGTCGGGACGGGCGTCGTAAAAGCAGGCGCAGGCACACTCTCCGACCCAGGCGTAGGAACACTCTCCGAAGAGGCGGCGTACCCGCTCTCCCCGCCCGTGAGCGAGGGTGGGACGAGGGAGGGCGTGCTCATCATCGACGTCGACGTCGACGAGGCAGCTTCACCGAAAGCGGGGATACCGAGCGCCGCGGGGTCGGGCATGGGGGCGTGCGGCGTAGGATGTACACCGTCAAGTGAGGCGGTGGGGACCGCGTTTACATTCGCCGTGAGAGACGAAGAGGGCGCGACCCCAGGGTGCGACGGGAGGAGACCTGAGGTCGGGCGGGGGTGGTCTCGTTCTTGAGTCGTGCTCACACTCGCCATGAGAGACGAAGGCGCAGAGCTAGACGACTCCGCTGCAAGCGCGAGGTCGGTGCTCTCCCCTGGCGCGAGCGGGATGGGGGATTGGACGAGCTGCGGGGTGGTCAGGTCCACGTCTGCGTCGGCAGCGGCGTCGGAATCAAGGGTCGACACAGAAGGGGACTCGCGTGCGACGCCGGGGTGCGAGGGGAGGAGGCCCGAGGTCGCACGGGGCGCAGAAGGAGGGGGTGAAGAGGAAGAGGGAGAAGGAGGCGCGATGGCGGAGGAGGAGTGTCCCGTGTGTGCTGTGGTGCTGAAGGTGTCGCCTGCGGAGGACGTGGTGCAGTATGATTCGTGTCGTGCGTTGGCGGTGGCGTCGTCTTGTGGGAGGCCTGGGGTCGACGCTGAGGATAGCGACGCCGAAGAGGGGGGCAGCGGGGGGAGGGATGATTCGGATGTAGAACGTGCTGGGGTGGATTCTGATTCTGAGGAAACTAAGCCAAGGAAAGATGTGAGTATAAATCGCATACAGCATGAGAAGAGAGAGACGCACGTAGATACGCGGCGACGGCCTGTGGGAGGTACGCCTTCGCGGTGGCAAGGCTGGGCATGTACGACTGCGCACTCGCAAGGAGCGAATCCTGCGGCGCCTGCTCTACACCGGGCTGCACATCTGGCTCCAGATGTGCAGGAAACCCACCCGGGACATCGGGGCCGGGGGTGCCGACGGGAGTGCGTGTGACGTGTCCACTGAGGACGTCGGTCATATTCTCGGCCCACTCGCTCGCTGGTGTTTGCGGGAGTGCGCCAGACGAAATGGTAGGGACCAAGTTGGGCGGGGAGGAATGGATAGTCGTCATCCTAGATTATTTCCAGTGTATACCAGGGTTATTTCCGTTTATTTCCAGGGTAGAAAGCAAGAGATGAGACGAGAACAAGACAATGAAGCTTTGGAGGTCCAAGTCTTTTCAGTAAAATTCCAGTCAGATAGCAGAGGATTCGAGCCCAAAGCAAGAAGTAGCGTTCAAGTATATTCAGCCCATGTTGACGAGTAACGCAGCCTTTTATACGCACGGCTAGACTGTTGGAAATACAACCCGTGGTCTGTTGACCATGCGGAATGCATGTGGAATGCACATGGACTGCTCCACAATTTTACTTCTTTTATTGTCTTTTCACCGTTGCTATGTTCACTTTAGGTTTAGCCTGCTTTTTGCCCGACTACCATCTTTTTCACCATATGCTTTATTGTGTTTCACACAGCCTTGGTATCATTGCTAGTCTGACTCATAGATAAGAGACTTGTATTTATACCGAGCTGTCTCTGCAATATATTCAGTCTGTTCTTTAGTTGCACCCCCTTCAATTATATCTTCCCATAGGTTATGGGCCCTGCACCCCGCATCTAAAGAAAACCTTACCACTTTGATCATCCTCATACCGCACCTGCTTGCCCGAAAATATTTTCATTGAATAAAATTCTATCCACCTACAATGTCGTCCACAACCACCAAACTCGGCGATGATTTCTTGCGCATCCCGAAGCTTGAAGTCACTGGCACGAACTGGGTCATATACAAAGACCGGTTCATATGGGCTGTTGATGCTCGAGGTCTCGCAGAGCACCTCGACAGACTGGCTGCCGCACCAGCTGATCCTCTTTTGGCTATTCGCTCCACCGGAGTAGCTGTAGCATGGACTGCACAGCAAATGGCATTGGAGACAGAGTGGAAGAAAGAATTGAAAGTATGGCAGCAGGGGGAGGCGATTGTGAAACAGCAGATCGCTGGGACGATTCCAGACTCACTGTTCATGAAGATCCGAGGCAAGACAACTGCTAGCGAAATTTGGATGGAACTCGGAAATGAATTCCAGAAGAAATCTCGCATGGTTTCAGTAGACTTGCGCCGCAGGCTTCAAGAGGAGCGTTGTGAAGAGCGTGGCGATATTCGTGCCCATTTCACAAAACTTAGGACCATGCGCGAAGATCTCGCAGCAATGGGTCAAACCCCGACCGATGAAGATTTCTACGCAATCATTCTCGGCTCCCTACCCTCCTCATTCGATCCCTATATTTCCGCAGTCAGTGCTACGTCTAGCGTGATCGGAGTTACCCTTAGTGCA